CCGAGGGAAGGAAGGAGGAAGACAGAGGGCGGAGGCGACAGGGTAGGGGTACTCGAGGAGTGGATCTGCTGTTTTCCACTTAAAACAGAAGAGGGAGCCCCAAGTGAATTAAGAGCAGCTGGAGGAATTGGGGTTCATCCGTGGGAAGAATTTGAAGGACGGGAAGGTTCCGGATTCACAAGGAGCCCAGAGTTGATCTCTTGAAATGTTTGCGGGAAAGGCTAGCGTTTCTTTCTAGAATCGGGTTTATGTAAGTGTGCCTGGCGCTGTCTGAGGGGTTCTGAGAGCCTTGAAGTGATGCTGTGATGAATAAATAGATGAATGACCTCGCGAGGACCCTTGGGGACCCTTAGGCCTCCTGGGCAGTGCACCGAGGAGGTTTTCCTTAAAGGCAGGCGAGTTCGGAGAGCGCTGTTCCCTCCGCTCCCCACGGCGGTGGAATAAATATTTGTCTTTATGACAATGAAAGGGGACTGGTCCTTGCACTGTTTAGGTGGTGTTGTTTTTTAAGGGGAGTGTCTTTTTCCAAACTGCCATGTTAAGCAATATTTTATACTATTTAATTTTTTTTAACAAGTTGGGTCTACTTGGTGAAGGGAAGTCATGAAACAGCACCCTTTTCTCCCAACCACTGTCTTTTAAAATTATTCTATCAGTTCTCCCTTCTCTGCTGGAAGAATCTAGGGCAGATTTCATAGCTTTTTCTGTCACTTTCAGGTGTTAATCAACAGTCTGATCCTCTGGTATTAAAAAGTCCAGTCCACTCCAAGTCGAAATGTCAGTCCCATCCCACTTAAGCCTCCCGGCTACCTCCCCTAACTCTTCCTAACCCCCCCCCCTCACCCCTCCAGCCCCACCCCTGTCAGCTCCCAGCCTGACCCAGCTCAGAGCCTGCATGGGGAAGAGAAATGTGTTTTTTCTTCCTTGCTCTGTATCTTCCCAGCTGGCTCTGTGAAGGTCGGCAGCTCCAGAGTGGCAGCATGGAAATGCTCCCTGCACCGGGCCCTGGTCCTCAATTCCAAGTCAGCTTCTCCTCTGGCGGCCTGCCTCCCAGAGACCCTCTGCGGGGTGACCATGCCCTGGCAGGCCGACCCTGCTACCTTCACCCACGTCTGTGCAGGTCCCTGTCACAGCAGCATACCCTCCTCATTTTCTGCTCACAGGCAGCTCTGACCAACCTCCCTCCTTGACGGTTCTTGTGTAGAAATCAAGCAGCCATCTTTGAACTCATGCATGTGCCCAATGCAGGTGATACATGCCAAGGTCTCAGCGCAGTTTTCCAGAAGCACCCCTTCCTTTGCGTGACATGGAACGCTCCCTCCTGTTCCTCATGGCACCTCATAATCCTCACTACCCATCTTCTCCTTGGTCCCTCCCCCCTTTTCTTAAATTTGGGCAGAAAGCAGCCGAACCCTTACAAAGCAAATCATCCAATGCCTCTAATTAAAATGGGGAGCCCTGGCTGATATGAGTATCATCCAGTGCCCCAAAAGTTCGCTGTTTTGATTCCCCATCAGGGCACACGCCAGAGAAGGGCCAGAGTGCATATGGGAGGCAACCCATGGATATTTCTCTCTCACATCAATGTTTCTCCCCCCGCACCCCCATCTCTCTAAAAACATATTTTTAAATAAATTAAAAATAAAATGTGGAGACACCTCTCACTGTGGCCACTGAGGCATGCCACTCAAATCTTGAGGGAACAACTGACAGCCTCCTAAACAGTGCTCACACCAAGGCTGAGGTTCCCAGTTGTTCCCAGTCCATGGCTTTGCATAGTGGGAATGCCAGAACTGGGCCATTTCCACCTTATGCAGGACCCCCATAATGGGCAGCGTTTCTTCCAGAGCTCCCCATCACCCTGCCTAGGCTCTCAGCTCTGCCCTGCGGTCTGAGGCTCCTCACCCCACCTCCCTCCCTTCCCTCTCCTTTTACAGGTGTCAGCCTTGCATGGCAGTCAGAAGGCTCTCCTCGCCCACCTGCCAACCTCCTTTCTCCTCCTGCACTACCCTATACAGGTGTTTTCTCAGTGTATTTTTCCCGCATCTAATCCTTCTTGGCATCTGCCTCTCAGAGGTCCCAAACTGGCATAGTCATCCGCTGTTCCCAGCAGATATTCCAAGTCCCATTTTAACATTTGGTTATGTTTGCATTTAGAAAATAAGAGTAGAGTGTTCTTTTGAGAAAATAATAAAAGATCGGCAGGTATCTTCATATGCGGTCCCCCAAAACAGAGCCTGATAGGAGCTGGAGGTGGAGAGATTATTTTGGGAGGTAATCCCAGGAAGCAGGAGTGATGAAATTGAAATATTGAGACAGGAAAGTATGAAAAGGTGTGCTATAAAGGTCACTGCTATTCACAAGTGCTCAATATAGCAGGGTCTCTGAGAAGCTTACAAAAATCCTCCCAGAATTGTCATTTCAAAGATGGGGCCTGAGAGGTGACCATCTGGCTCTTCTTCTCTGTAGATGGGACTTATTTAACTCCTTTGCACTTCCCTTCACCAGGGCTTTCGAAGACACTGAGGCAGAAAAACAGTGCCCAATGGCAGCATTTTGTTGGGGAAGCGGGCACTGTTGACTTGAGTTCCACTCCCAAGGGAGGGCCATCAGAGCTATGATTCAAGGGCAGCCAAGGAGATGTGGTACAGGCATCAAAAGTGTCTGCCACAGCAGGTCTCAGGAGTATTTCCCCCTTGCCTCCCCAGACTGAGGTGGCCAAAGGCATCTGCCCTGTGCAACTCCAAATTGCTAAGATGCCCAGGGTAAAAGAGGAAGAAAGGGTATAGCAATGTTGCAAGTCATGAATGACACTTGGCAGGAGACTAGTGTCTTGGTCCATCCACTCAGTGGTAACAAAACTACCTTAGACTGGGTGACTTATACACAGACGTTTATTTTTCCCAGTTCTGGAAGCTTGAAGTCCAGGATCAAACTGCCAAGTGACTTGGTATCTGGTGAGAGCCAGCTTTCTAACCAGCTGTCTTTACACTGTAACCTCCTAGACAAAAAGGGTAAGTGAGCTCTCCGGGCACCAATCCCATTGAGGAGGGCTCCAAGTTCAGGACCTACTCACTTCCCAATGGCCCCACCTCCTGATACCTACCACCACATTGGGAGTTAGGTTTCAACAGCTGAATCTGGGGGGACACAAACAGTCAGAACATAGCAACTGACTGACACATAGCAGGATGTTATTAGGGATCAGTGCCTATGGGAAGGGAAGTAGACCAGGACTGGACAGTGGGAGTAACTGGATTGTGATTCAAGCCTAACCTGGCATCAGCCAGGCCCAGGTTACTCAGGGGCACATACAGAGTGGTGAGCTGGGGCCTGCTTGTACTAGCTTGAGAATGTCAGTTGTTAGATATTTAGGCATTTTGTGAGCCAGTTGTTAAATACAGCTATCATTGAAGATTGATTAAACTTATAATTTTCTATATATTATATTATATAAAAACAAAGTTAACAAATCACTTCCATTATTTTGCTACATGCTCTTGGGTCTGTTTACAACTCGAATATCTATATGGTGGCAATACTACAGTATGGGGCAAAATAGGTTTACAGTTGTGAGTACATGAAACAGTTTACTCTTGTATTATTATTTATCAACTAGAGGCCTGGTGCACAAAAATTTCTGCACTCCGGGGGGAGGGGGGGTCTCTCAGCCCAGCCTGTGCCCTCTCGCAGTCTGGGACCCCTCGGGAGATAACGACCTGCTGGTTTAGGCCTGCTTCTGGGTGGCAGAGGGCAGGCCCAATCCCTAGGTGCAGCCTCTGGTCTGGCTCAGAGCAGGGCCGATTGGGGAGTTGGGGAGCTGCCCCCTGTCATGCACAGAGCAGGGTGATCAGGAGGTTGTGATGCCACCCTCAGTCATGCTCAGGGTAGGGCCGATTGCGGGGTTGGGGCACCGCCCGCTGTCACACTCAAGGCAGGGTGGATGGGGAGATTGTGGCATCACCATCTGTCACGTACAGAGCAGGGCCCATCAGGGGGTTGGGGCTCTGTACCCTGTCACGCACAGAGCAGGGCCCATCAGGGGGTTGGGGCTCTGTACCCTGTCACACACAGAGCAGGGCCGATCAGGGGGTTGGGGAGCT